TTTAAGGTTTATTCCAAAGGGTGCTGAAGTACTCAGTAAGCCTGACATCTGCTGTTGTCTTCCAAGAGCTTCTAATGCAGGACACACAGATACTCTGGGGTAGAGTAAAGTGGCAAAGTGGCACAAGAGATCCCAATGACAAAAAAGCCCTAGTTTTCAACTTCTGTATTGCTGCCAATGATATGTGTGACTTGGGGAAAATTATTGACTTTCCCAAGCACCATTTCTCTGGGTCTTGCAATAATTACAACCATCTTGTTTGGAAGATGAGGATGAACAGTCTACAGAATAAAGTCATGTTAATTGGAAGCTCTCATTATTGTCAAGTTCCAAATTAGAGTTCTGATCCTTCTTGTCAGAGGTGGTGTCTTCCTTACTTCTGGATACACTATTCTGTTGTTAGTCCTATTTTTTAGAGAGGAGACAGTTGCCAAAGGTGTGGGTTAGAAGTTCCTTTTCTAGGATGTTCAAAGGGAGCAGAATGGCTTATGGAGAAAACACTTTCCAATCTCATCCAAGCAGTCAATGTTCAGGGTTGGGCTATGCTAGGAAAAGCTGTGTCCTTCTAGGTGTGTTACCCAAGCCTCCAACTCAAGCATAGTGTCTTGCATGCAATGGTAACTAATTAAATATTCACTAATGAAATAATTTATTTCTTAGTGAGCTGTGACGTTCTTTCTTTACTCAGAATTCTTATTTTGATGGGCCAAATCAATCCCTTAATATGTTGAAGTCCTAATTCATAGCACCACCACGGATACACAGAAAGAATATCATCATGTGCCCATGAGGAATAGTTCAGGTGCCGAGTACCTGGAAGAGACGCCTGCTGTGGATCTTCCCTCATAGCTTCCTCAGAGACCTAGAACTATCCACACCCTGACTTTGGTCTTGTAGTTTCCAGAACTCTGAGAAAATATATTTCTGCTATGTACACCACCTTGTCTGCGATCCTTTCTTAGGCTATCCCGGGAACTAAAAGCAGAAACCACAGTGGGTTCTTTTGTTACACTTGTTTCAGAGCTTCTTTAAATATTCTTCAATTTTATTTTCCTGAGAACATATTCTGTCTCTTTTCTCTTTCTGCTGAATTCTGACTGTTCACAGCTTCCAAGAACATGTCTTTGGATGGGAGACTCATAAAAGTTTGTCTTTGAGGTTCCATTAGGTTCTGAGGCCCAGTCTGTGGAAAGTATAAACATGGCTGGGTGGGCATGGTGTTGGCTCTCCCGTCCTCAGCATGCCTTCCATTCCAGGGGCTAATAGGTGACATGTGCGCAGAATCCTGGGTGACACTTGAAAACAAGAGCAACCCTACAGGCCCTTCCATGGGACAGCATCATTATTATGCCATGAGTTGGTAAGGAGTAGACAGTGAGTCCAGAGGTGGCCCCAACCTGAGGTTCGTGCAAACTGGGAAATTCAATAGGCTGTACAACTAGTCCTGCATGGAGCTTCTATAATGGATAGATCTTTAGGATTAGCCATGGTTGCTATGGAGACAGTGGGGGTAGGGGCGATTAGGGAAGAACACAGCTGTTCATATAACTTCTTATGGGTCCGTTTCCTTCTTTACAGTGGAGAATCTCTGGGGTCATCTCATTTATTCCTCCATTCATAGACAGGAGAGCACCACTTGAAGCTACACTTTATCTCCATAGTTGGACGCAGACAATCAGATTCCTTTTTCCTCTCCCTTCTAGAAGGACCGTATAGTCAGGGGTTTATGTTGGCTGAGCAGTACTGAGGATAGCATATATTTTGGAGATAAGGGAGATATGAGTAAAGATTATCAATACACAGAAGTCTCATAATTATGAGATTCCAAAAAGAGCAATGCCAGCACAAAGGGATTAGCCAAGAAAGTTGAAGAAAATGAGTTGATTCTTCTTAAAGATTTCTTTGAAAAAATGTTATTGTAAAAATAATGGCTCAGAAAAGAGGTTGTACTCTTTCAGGGGATATTTATCAGGCGGTCTTCAGGCAGTCTTTGGTGATGTGACCACTGATCGTTTGGTTAAGGTGGGGGAAGATTAGTTATTTCTTCATTGAGAAGCTACTATTGGTCCCATTGTAACTAATTATTTTATGGGAAGATAGCTCAAGATTGTATAAGTATCATATTTCTCATCAACTTTCACCTCATCTTTGCATCTAAGGACTATCCTTTTCTGAAATAGTTGGAATTATGCACATTAAAATTGTGATTTTCTTTTTCCACAACTCTTTCTGTACTTATTAGTTCGGATTCTAGTGTAAAGATATATCTCCCCTCCTGTTAAATGTTTGTTTATATATATCAGCAAGAACTGGTGGAGTCTCATTCCTGCCAGATGCCCCTCAGGTTGGTTTCTGTGCTCTTTTTCTTTTAATGGTTCTTGCCAAAAGTATGCTGCCTGAATTAAACTACAAGGAAACATTTGGTATATCTAAATTAAGGGACACTGACAACATAACTGACATAAAACTCTTTAATACCATGAAGGTCATTATTAGGACATTGGATTCGAGATTAAAGTGACAAGACAATGTCATAAAGGAACATTACATTGGCTCCCAGAGTAGACCTTAGATTGGATTTTAGACCAGAGAAATGATGTTATTGTGACAATTTGGAAAATGCTAATAAGTTATGTATTTTGGTGGATATTACCAGATAAATATTAACTGATAATTACATTATGCTTCTTTAAAATGATAATTTTGGAAAATCTGGGTAAAGAAGATATGAATGCTCTTTATATTATTTTTGTATCTTTTTATAAACTTGAAATTATTTCGTTAAGTGACCAGTTAGAAGAAAGAGAAAAGGACTGACAGGTGAAGGAGTTTCTGGGTAGGGGTAAGAGATACAACATCAAAGAAAATAGGATAATAGTGCCTAGTCATTCCAGGCCTAAGTGCTCCCTGCCATATGTCCTGTGTAGAGTGACATCTCTGAGTGAGTTTAGAGCCCAGCAAAGTGTTTCTCTTCGCAAAGATGGCCTTTTATATCTCAACATCCTCAATATGAAAATTACCTTTAGGAGCCTCAGAACACCTTCTGTTGCTGATATATTCATTGGAAAAATCAATTATAGCCTAATTACCTCAGGAGGTTAATTAGCCTCCTGTAATTTGGGTGTCCTCTGTGAAGCCAGCAGCCTGTCAGCCCCCAGTCTGTGAACAGGGCAGGTGGTGGAGGCACAGGCTTCACTGTGAACAGCTTGCCTTTGGGCTTATAAAGCTCCAGCTAGGCTTAGCAGAAAGACACCAGGCTTTGCAGTCCCAGAGCCCGCAGGTAGGAAGTGCTGATGACAGAGCCTCTCCTGATTTCAGTTCTAGACACCATGGGTATTGACAGTCACAGAGACTGACAACCACAGCAGAAACACATATTGCAAAACATGAAGCAATACAATTTTTCAAAAGTTACCAGAAAGCACTAGAACAGCTAAGGCACAGAGCTCTAAAGACTTCAAGATTCTAGTTATATGAGCTCAGAGGCTGAAGTGTGCCAGTATGTCAGCACTCTTTACAGCATTCTCTTCCTTGGAGACAGTCGGCAGACATGGTCACTGGCCAGATCTGAATGTAAGCTAGTACTAACCTCACTCCGTGTCTGGGGGCAGGGTCTATGCTTGTGTGAGCTTTTCCTGTCACAGAACTTCACAGTGATGCAGCAGTTCTCTCCATCACATGAACTGTACTCTTCTCCACAGACACACACATGCAGACACACACACACACAAGACACATAGCACTTCCTTCCCACAGTCTTGTGTTTAACTCCTTCTCTGGAACTTTGGAGCCTCACCTTGGCTATTTGGAGTTGGAGCTCCTGACATGGAGGGATCACATCTATCTGGTCTATGCTAGCAATTGACTTAATATTAATTAAGGCAAAACATCACCACTTCTATCTTCCTTTGATAAATCATGGAGAATTTTAAAGTAACTTTATGAGCTTAAATACTAGTGTTGTCTCTTATTTGCTGTGTGAATTTGGGACGCGTTTTCTTCTTCTGTGAAATGGCTCTGAGAAAACTTAACTTCTGACAGTTGCTATAACAATAAAATATATCAAAGCCAAGCATGTTAAATATCTGCTCTGTGGTCAGTCATGTGAAGGTTATAGCATCCCTTTATCTTGCGGTTTCTGTTTTCCTCGAACTGAACTGAAGCTCTGATTGGGTCAGAAAGGAGTTCAATACATTTTTCAATATTCTATGACATAAGATTGGCTTTGGGTAAATGATTCGGAGACAGGAACAGTGCATTAGCTCAGGAAAGATGAAGACAAAAAATAGTTTCTCTTTGATATCACAAGGCACTTGTGGCCACCAAGGCACTTCCATGGTCTTTGTTCTTAATAGAGAATGCACAATTTAGATTCAATGAAAACTGACAATTATTGACTGGGCTGCAGCTGAGAGCAAATAGCGTAAAACAAAACTGCCTCTTCAGGCCACTCACCCAAGCAGTTGTTATCTCTCTCTCTCTCTCTCCATATCAACTTGCTATTCTGGAAACACCATTTTTTCTAATATAGTTAATTACTTTATTTATTCCCATGAAACGGACAAAACAAACTGGGACCAAGACAAATTCCTGAGAAATAGTATATAGCTAACATATGGCCTGTCTACTTCTTCTGTTTCTAATTTTGCACCTCTGAACTCCTTGCAGTTCCTCAAATGGCAGCTCTGCTGAGAAAAGACAAAGCCACTTTCTGAAATATTCCTTCACCATGGAGTCAGTATCTGGCCTCTCCCTGGCTCAGCCAGCGCAGCCTTGTAGCTGGGCCGCCTCCCTGATATGTCTGGGCGTAGACATGTACCCATCATGCACTGCACTGGGGCATGGACAATACTCCTGTCACTTATGTCTTTTCCTAGTCCAGACACACAAGATGTTTCATATTTCTCTATGAAAACACCCTCTCCAGGAATTCAACCACAAGTACATTTCTTCCCTATATCTCTGGTTGTTCCCTTCTCTTTCGGAAGTTGGACACTTACCTCTGTAATCTGGGGGTTGGAGCACTTGACATTGTGGCTGGACCAGTCGAGCCAGGGGCTGGAAGTGCTGGGGCAGTGCTGCTGAAGGGAACATCTGCGCTCACCACTGCACCAGCCACACTCAAACTTGTGGTCAGCCTTGAGGCAGAGACCACAGCTCTCCCGCTGGGCTGCACACTTGTAGAGATGCACTGCAAAGAGAAGGGGCTGCCATGAATAGGACTCAGAGGCTCACCACATGCACTCTGCCTGTAGGTGCAACAGGTTGCCCCACCGCAGACAACATCGGGGTCACCACCACTGCAAGAGTGAAACCTGGGTAGTGAATGAGGTGACGAGGCAGTCATCCAGAGGCAGAACAGAAAAAGTAAGTTAAAGTTTTCTGCTCCTGGACTGAATGAGATCCCTGCTTTAAGTGTGGCTTCTCCATTTCCTAGTAGTGTGACTAAGAATTTAACTCCTCTGAATCCTGTTTACCTATATTTATCATGGAGCTAAAAGTTGGTATGGGAAGGTTTGAACGAGATGCTATACACTGAATTCTCGGCAGTGCCTAGGATACCCTAGAAGCTATCTACACACCTATTATTTTTTCTCTGAACTCTAATGCTGTTGGTGAACACTCTCTCACAAATGAGAGATATAGACTCATTTCATTATTGCAGGTAAAAATGAAACTCAAATAGATGCAGTGACTTTCCCAGCTTACTGTGGGTACTGGTCTCAAGCCTGAATCCTGTTGTGTTTCCTGTGCTGCCGATGGTGGGTCCTAGAAAGACAGGAATCTCAATTGGCACCCTGGAATTTATGTGGGTCTGGGAACGGAGTCATCTTGTGTTTGAAGAAAGTCCAGGTAGCTGAAGTAGGAGGCATGCTTATCCCAGTGTAGATAAAGAATGTGTTTTCAAGAAGACAAACTAGTTCTTGATAGATCACACTATCATTCTGCAAACATTTTGCCTTGAGTTTTCTCTAACTGACTTGAAGGCCCTAGAGGAACTAGCTGTCAAGTGTAGTTGTTTCATGAGCCCAGGTTTTAGTCCTCTCTTTTAGTACTAGGAATTCAGAGCACCAAGTGAATTCTTCAGATGAACACAATTAGCTGATGGATTCAGCTTCTAAAAGTAGAGATCATCAGTGCAGACTGATACTGTGTTATCACTGCTTGGTAACTAGCATGTAACAACTCTCTTCCCCACATTTACATTCCACTATACATTGTAAGTAATCTAGAGATGATTTAGATATTTGCAGTTATGTGTAAATACTATGCCACTGAATGTGCATATAATCTCATGGGGATATTGAGCAATGACTCAGAAAGTCACTTTTCATCCTTTTCAGCCAAGTTGTCCTAAGCTTTTGTGACCTGGCCTCTGCTGGAGGTCATGTGCATGTCCCATGGGAGAAGCATTTTTCATCTTCCATAGCATTCCCTGACACCTCTGTTCTGTCCAGCTTCCCCTGTCTCAGCTGCACAAACCATATAGCATCCTAAATCCTAAGTACCCTTAGGCCTGTGGTTTCTAACGCACAAGAAAGGCAAGGGAAATCTGAAAGTACTTTTGGACAAGTACTTTTGGAGCATTTATAAATATGAATCATATAATTTTTATCCATTAGCTCCTTATGTCCTCAGCAAGACCCTAAGCAGTGGGATTCCTTTCCTCTGGGGAGGGTATGAAGACACTAAGATGTAGAGAGGTGCCAGAGTTAGTTCTAATTTGCATGGTTTAAATGGAAGCACCAGCTGTGGGACTTGGTTTGCTGAGTCTGGGAACCTGTATTCTTAAACACAGTGGTCCTCCAAACCCAATCCATGTACAACTTTCTCTTACTTTGAGGATCTGGTAGACACAAGTGGGAAGGCAAGTCAAGGCTGCTTGTGCACCTACAGAGCCTGGTAGGTATCAGGAGAGTCTGATGTTCCAGTCTAGACCTGGTGGCCATTTTCCTCCAAGATCTCAAGGAAACCTCTGGGATCTGACTGATCTGACTAAGCAAGGAAAATATCTATCTTCTAGCGATAAAAAGAAAAAAAATCTGGTTTAGGAACAAGCAGACACAAATTACCTGGAGTGAGGCCTCTCTTGTCATTAGGCTGCAGTGACTTTACAGTGCACCTGGGACAAGAAGCTGTATTCCGCAGACACCGAAGAACCTCCAGATCCTACTATCCCCTTAACTGCACTCCTGGTGCCCAGAGTTGAAGTAGAGATTATGACAACTCCATTTACTTGAAGCATAAGAGGACATGTGGCTCCTGATGGGAGAAGGCTTCAAATCTCACCCTGAGCCCAGCAGCAGCGGCAACAGGCCCTCATCTTGGTGTGTACTAACTTGTTTGCCAGCTCTGAAATCAGACTATCTTAACACTTACTATATGACTCAGCTTCACCATCTACAGGGTGGGAATAATAATAGCACACATTTGGAGTTACTGAGGTAAGTAATGAAAACAATTTCAAGCGAATTGCATAATGAGTGCCTTATATGACAAGCGTTCAGTAGATGGGTCATTCTGAAGGGCTGCCCTGAGGGTAGACCTGCCAGGACCTGCTTTCTGGATGAATATAATATGAGTGTACAGGGCATGAGCCTCAGAGTTTCCATCTTGCTCTAGCCCAGACCCACTTTCTGAACTTCTTTGCTTCAGATGTGAGCCTGAGTTAACATACTAATCCCCTACTAGTCTCAGGACTAGACACAGGCTTACAGGCCTTCTTTGTGTTGTGACAGTGACCAGGGCTGAGAACATGGGAAGGAGAGCCTGCATGAGAACAATATCTACATTTCTAGGGAGGCTGGAAGGATGCTCTGTGCTGTTCTCCTAGGTCAGGTGCCATGGATACTTCAAAGTTGCCAGGAACCAGAAAACAGTGCAGATGAACAGGCAGCCACCTGGCGGATGCTCTGGTTGTAATAAAACAAGGCTCCCAACAGGACTCCTTTGATGGCTTCAAATGTTGCTTTAATGGTCTCTGAAGAACTCTGCTGGCAGAGGGGGTGTGCTACTCAAAGCACAGCAGCAGCCTGCTCTGATCTCTCCAACCCCAGCCTTTCCCAAGGTCATGAAAAGATCTAGCTTGCACCTGTAAGCAGTTGCTTACCTTTCAGGTCCTGAGGGTTGTCAATTATGAAATTGCCATTCCACACCACAGCAAAGTCCACTGCTAGGTTGCTGATGTCCATCCCATCATACTCGTACTGCAGAAACAGGACAGAATCACACATTTGTCAAGCCTCTGTCTCATAGGAAACCAGAGTGTAAAGCAACTCCTCATGCTGCCCAAAAGGACCCTATGATACCTGACTTTAGTCAGTAAAGATACCAGGAGCCAGCCTAAGTCTCTGGCTTAGCCTTTAGTTTTTATTGAAATCTGAAAGGGTTCAGGTTTCCACTACTTTCTCCTACTGAATCCATCAGCTCTAAACACACTTGCTGAAGCTCCTCTCTGTATAGTAGTTGAGTCTCTATCTCAAAAGGAATGTTGTTTTCTCCCTACAACTGCCACCCTTTGAGCTTACCCTTGTTCATTTAGTCTAGCTCTCATTCATCCTCCTGTGTTCTTTCTGATATCACTTCTAGTACCTCTCCCCCATACACCATCCCCTCTGCTCCCTCCTAGTCTTGGACTCTTGATCTTGCCATTTTCTGTCTTTAGTTCAGCACTTTCCTGGCACTAGGATGCATTTTTCATGCATGCATTTATTCTCTAGAGTGCATGTGTGTGGGGACTCAAAATTAATGTCCTCATTGCAATCTCATACCTAGAACCTATAACAGGGCATGTGCAACAGTTGTAGAGTGGCTGGTTGGTTTCTCTCTCTCAGGTGTATGTGATAGTTTTTTAATGTGTTTGTGTGCATGTATGCCTGCGTGTATGTGTGTATGCATGTGTGTGTGTGTGTGTGTGTGTGTGTGTGTGTGTGTGTTGGTGTGTGTATATGCATATGGAGGCCAGAGGTTGAGACTGGACATCCTTTTAATCATTCTACTTATTTTCTGAGATTGGGCAGGAGTTTGTAGATTTTGTTGGACTAATTGCCCAAAGGGATCCAATGTTCCTCCATCATTTCACCCCCAACATTGGGATTACAGTTGTGAGTCTTTGTGACCAGCATGGGTATGAAGGAATCCCAATTCAGGTCCTTATTATTGGGGTGGCAGGCACTCCACTGACTGTGCTATCTCCCCGCCCCCCCCCCTCCTTCTGCAGATTGGTTTTACCTGGATAAGTGTCTAAGAAAGAAACTGCTCACATCTTCCTGGGTATCTCATAGCACAGCACAGAAAAAAAAAAAAAAAAAAAAAAAAAAAAAAAAAGCCTCCACCAGAGGCTGAGTCTCCTGTTCTTCTGACCCTCACAGAGGACTTTTCAAGCCCTTCAAAACGTCCTGGATGGCCCAGTCCCCACTGTACTTTGCTAAGTCTCCTGGTCAGTCCTTCTTTATGTCCGCCCATTTCTAGCCATGGTCACTTAGCTCTGGAGGGCATATCACCATTGCCCTCCCACCCAGCCTTCCATTGCCTTCTTCCTTTGTTGTGCTCTCTTTCTCAGTCTGGCTTCCTGTGCACTTGGCACCGATTACAAATTCTATCAAATGCTTGTGACCCCAGAATCTGACAGCTCCCTGATAAGAGGCCCAGATTCTCTTTATCTCTCTCAGGCGAATTAGCTTCCCTCAACACCTTTGTCAAGTCCTTCATCTCTGAGCTGACCCCCCACAGTCAGAGACAGGGAGTTGGCAGATAAAAAGATCTTCTCTGAGCTGGAATTATAATTAAACACCTTGTGCTTTCAGTCCACCATTCTGGGCAGGTTTAACCCCTGTGGCTCTGGAAATGCTATATTGCCTTCCTCTCCTTCCATCCCTTCCTGTTCATCCTCATCCCAGAGATGCTCTCCAGTATCCTCACATATTACATGGGATAAGCTGCTGGGTGGGGTTGATCCCTTTTGGCAGAAGTTTCCCCAATGGCAAAATGTGCTCTTTAACTTCAAAAGGAACCCCCAAATCTTAACTTCCACCATTAAGGTCCTCTTGAGGGCTCTCTTCTCTGAGATCTGGCTCAGTGTACTTGCAGGTTTTTCTGTCCCTGGTGACATGGGTGCTGCTTATGATGCTACATGATCTATGGCCTTGGCATATGTGTGAGGCACTTACTGAACTATTTTGGCACTGCACACTGGAACTGTTGAAGCGCAGGGCAGGGACTCGGTGGACAGCCCCTTGGATGCTGAGCACACACTCGTAGCCTCGCTGGCCAGACTGGGGTTGGGGCAGGTTTCGGGCCTTCAGAGTGATTGGTTTCACTTCCCCGACTGGGATCAGAATCTCCTCCGTGGGCACTAGCTGGGGACAGTCCTAAGTGAGCAAGCAGAGCTCCATTAGTCTTCCACTCAGAGCTCTTTACTCACCTGAGCCAGGACAGGACCTTCCTGTTTCCCAGTGGGCTGCCCATAAGAAGAGCTGCACCTTAACATGTTGAGTCAATGGGGAGGATAAAATCTTTTCTTCCTTCTGGGCTTTGATATTGTCAACACCATTCCACAAGCCATCCTAATCTTGAGGTGTGTATTACCATTTAGAATTTAACTTTCAAACACTAGTATGTCAAACTGTGGGTTTTATCTCTTGAGACTAAATGAAAGAGCCTCCATGGGTTCATGTCCCCAGCTCTGGCACCCCACCTCTGGTTTCATCTGGTTCCCCAGCCCCTTAGACCTTTACATTGTCTGATGCCTGAGGCAGCTGTTATCTACAGCTTCAGCTTCTCAGCTCCAGCTGAGCCAGGATTTCTAGTTCTCCAGGAGGGGGGATCAAGTCCCTCCCCCTTCAGCCCCCCCAGCTATGCTTTAAATACTTGCTCTGGCTTTTTCTCTCTTTTCATTACCATGTGTGAATGCTATGCTGCTTTGGAAAACAAAATTCTAATAGAAAAGTGTAGTAGAAAGGAGGCATGCGAAGGGTGCAGGAGAACAGGGTGCGGCGGGGGCCGGGGCAAAGAGGTCAGTGTTGGTCAGTCTGTGTCTGGAGGCAGAGGTCCAACACCACAGTATTGACTTCTCCCTCCTTCAGGAAAGATCTGAGTGTTGTTGGCTGCTATGCCCCTACAGGGTGGATATGAAAATTCTTCATTCGGAAACATTTCTAATCTCCAGGGATCTAAAGTTAGGGAGTTCTTGCAGGAAGCTCCACATTCCCTGTCTGCTGGACACTAGTTCCTGGGGGGATTTGGGGAATGTGTTAGATCTCACATAGTTATAAGGCCTGCAGAGGGTACTGCTGGTATTTGCTGCCTGAGTACCAAAACTGCTGGACATTCTGCAAGGTGTGGACAATCTCCAAGAAGAGACTCCAGATGCCAGAAGCCATTCCTGTTAGAAGCTTTGTGTAACACAGGCTGTTGAGTAATCATAATCTCTACTGTAGATCTGTCAGCTTCTTTGTGTGGACATATACAGTCTCTTCTTTTGTTCAGATCCCAGTTGCAGACCTATCATACTCTAGTCTCTACTTGTCTACAAACCTTTTTGTTTTTTCACATTATTGTCTGGACATACTGAACACATATCCATCTCTCATACTGTTCACATACCTGGCCTTTGCATATGCTTTTCTCCCTATTGAAGACTAACTCCTATTGACCACTGTCATCTTCTTCCTGCCCTTGCCCTCAACATAATCAGATAGCTGATCATTAGTTACCCAGCCTTCCAACTTGGCTCAGGAAGGCTGGCCTGACCCTTTCCTGTACTGACTTCAAGAAGAACTCTTGGGTATTGCTCCATGTTCGCCCTTAATCTGTGGAGCCATAATTTCTATGGACTTGTTTTTCTTGCTTAGCTGTTATCTTCTCAAGGACTAAGTCTGAACATTTCTACCCCACATCTCTAATCTTCATCTTGTGTCAGATGTGTAGTGGATACTTAACCATTGTTTGCAGGAGGGTGACTGTAAAGAAGAAAATAAAGCAATAAGTAAAGAATTTTGAAGTTTCTTGTTAGTTTCAACTTTGGAGGCTAATAAGGTGTAAGAGAGACTTAAGAAGCAATTTGATTCCCAAGGGGGACTACAGACAGCCATGGTTTCTGGAGCTCCAAAATTACCTACGTGCACAGCCTTATCTACTGAGGTGTTTGACCATTTATACAGAGCTGGAGCCAAGAGTTTCCTACTGAGGACTGTCTGGGAGGACTAGGAAGGGTAAGCTTCCAGGGTAAGCTTGGCCACTCCTGCCCACCAGCAAGCACCTCCTTGGAGGACTCCAACAAGTGGCTCTTCCGAGAGACAGGATTGTAAGGAATCCCAGAGCAGATGGGTCCCCATTTAGGGGCCAGTTTGCTCAACCTGTCAACTCATAGACCTACTCTTTACTGTTCTTTTACTTTCATGCCCTGCAGGTACTTCTGACAGAGTCTTTTACAGATTTATAGGCAGGAAAGCCAGATATCCCTCTAGCCTGGCTAGAATTTATGATAGAAATAAGTCTGCTATATAATGGGCATGTATGTGATTGTACATATGCATAGACTTAGAGAAAGACACACAAACACATACATACAGAGAAAGAGAGAGAGAGAGAGAGAGAGAGAGAGAGAGAGAGAGATTGAACCAAGTGCGATAAAGGACAAGTTCTTGTTTTTCTAATGAGTTCAGAGAACAAATTTAAATTTCAGAAGGCCTAGTATCTTGAAGATATGCTTTTGGAAGTATGGTGTCTCAGCTCAGCAAATAAGACTCTAGCATCCTTTATACATTTGACAGCAAAAATCTCCCCAAATTTGGCCCTCAGTATCCATGAATTCTATCAGCCAATGACCAAAGATATTTGAAGAACAAAAGTTGTAACTGTACTAGATATGTACAGAATCCATACTGTGATTATTTCCCAAATAAAGAAAGCAGCTACTAATATACACTGACTAATATACAGACTGTATGTTGTTTTATGAAAATATCACCCTGATTAACAAAAGGAACTTGGCATCTGCACAGGGATCTGGAACATCTATGTTCCCTGTCCTCCTGGCTGTGGAGAGATAACTGAATATACTTCCATATGCCAGTGGTGCAACCAGCCTAGAGAATGGAAAGTCACGGCAGAAGTTATTTATAAGTTACTATATTTTTCCAAAGAATAGTCTAGAATTTTAGAAAACTTCCTGTTCTCTTTTGGATCTTAAAAAGGCTAATTTTAAAGATGATTAACAGGCTTTTCCCTAATGCCTAACCATGCTCAAGATTGGCCTAGTAGCAAAAAGGATGCATTGGCTTTGTTTATTTATCAATTGCTCTGAGGTCAGATAGAAAAGAACTTTTCTTCTATTCCCAGGGTAAAGGAAAAAAGTGGTTGGTATTCCGACTACACAATCTGCATCGTTGGCAACAAGTAAGATGCAGACCTGGTCTGTGAGATGGATCCAAGAGGGCAGGAGTTTGGGGGTAGAAATGACAATGGTAAGACCAGGGGCAAAGGCAGGAGAACGGGCAGCCGGGAAGTCTCCGAGTACATCTGGGACTTGGGGAGGTGACAGGTTCCTGAAGCCATTCCTTTAACACTTGTTCCTGTGCACACAACACAGAATGGAGTGGGGTGGGGAAGAGGAAAATAGAGAAGAGGGAGGAGAGCAATAAAAGAGGAAAAGAGAGAAGAGAGAATGTTTTTGTACTAAGGACAAGAAAGCCAATAACCATTATTAACTGTTTTTTTTTTCGAATATTAACATTTTCATAACATTTAATAATACTGATGGTCCCTGCTGACCCTGCAGACTTCCCAATAACGACCTTAAGTTATCTTATCTCCTCTGTGTACCTCACATTGGAGCCAAGTCTCTTTAGCAGGTGTCTCAGTTTAAATAAAGGTGAACAGATATCCTGTTTGAGAACACTGCAGGGCTGGGTAAGAAGCAGGGCCATGCCTTGCTGCCCACTCAGTTTGGTTGGGATCCCCCTGGTTCTGTGCTGAGGACCTGTTAGTCCTCAAAAGGACTTCTTCCATGTGGAAATGGCATTATCTTCACCCGCTGGACTTCAAAGAGTGAGAGCAGCCAGCATCCTGGGAAGCTAATCGGATTTATTTGGTTCTATCTTTCCCTTGGGATGGGTGTAAAAGAGATATTTATGTATCTACATCTCACTAGAGCTGTTTCAGCTGTGGAAAAGATGAGCTTTCAAGGCTGATAGCTATACATGTTCCTGTGCACACTACCTGCTAACACTGTGTTACAGAAAATAGAGGGTTAGGTAGCTTGTCAGAAAGCTAGGGGGCTCTAAATGGGGCGGGTATAGAAAAGATGAAGCCCATCACCTTCAAAGCGCTTGAGAGATGGTCTGGATGAAGTTCTGCCTCTTCATGTACAGAATGGGGTTAGTAATACCTGACAACTAGATTACACAAAAGAAGAATCTGCAGTGATGTGTGGTAACAGGCTGGGTTAACAACTGTCAATATGCTGGGCGCAGTGTCCCATGCCTGTAATCCCAGCTCTTGGGGAGGCAGAGGCAGGTGGATCTCTGTGAATCCGAGGCCAGCATGGTCTACAAAGTGAGTCCAGGACAGCCAGGGCTACACAGAAAAACTCTGTCTCAACCTCCCCCCCACCAACTGTATTTCTTGTACATGTATGTGGCAGAATCAGGTGATTCAAATTTACTCAAAGCCACTTTAGACTGAGTTCTGACATCTGCCTTTCTTTGACCAATCAGAGGAATACTGGGCCTGTTTTGTCTGTCATAGAATCAGCTTAATAAATAGTCAAGAAATAGTGGATAAATGTGTGAAACTTACTCACAAATGAGGTGACGCACACATCACAAATAAGCAATAGATGTGAGATACTATATTTCTATTTCCACGTCACGTGTGCTGTGGCCCAGCTTGTCAGTTCGTTCTTGTCAGGGTTAAGCATGGCTTTACCCAGCAGGTTCTGGAAGGATGTAGGTAGGGGAATTTATAGAAATGGCCCTTTCTTTGGAAGAATTTCCATCTGTGGAGATAGATTTGTGTTGGTCCAGCCACAACTGAACCCTCATAACCAAGAGTCAGACCAAAGCCATTCTTGCAAGCATAACTCTGGCCATGGAGACCAATATGCTCACAGGCCCCAATTTTCTGAGAGAACAAACTAGTCAGATTTTTCCGGATGCTGAATTCTCCATTGTCTTAGGCAATATCCCCAAATTGCTGCCCTCCTGGTTACTACAGGTGCCAAATAAGAGTTATGTGAAACTGCATTCAGCTTAGAGAATCAACTGAAATGCCATCTGTCAGTGGTTCTCAATCTTTAGCTTCATCTGGGAGAGCACCCAAGAATTTGAGTTTCTAGCAGCTTTCCAGGTGATGCTGATGGCACAGTCCTGGGAAGGCATGCTGAGAACGGCACCACAGGTGCAAAACCGTGACGCGTGACAGTTGCAGTGCTAACTTGCGGAGCTAATCGGTGACACATTGCTTCTACCAAGGATACAAGCATGAAATTTTGATTCAAAGATGGAAGAGGGGCTTGATGGAATTGCTGAAAAGATATTCTAGTGACCCCAAAAAGTTATCTAAGGTATTTACAGTCCCTAAACACCTTTACCCAAACTGGGCAATGCAGTTCGTTATTCTTTGAACTTTGCGGAGTGGGCTTCCCTAAAGCAGAGCTTTGAATAGAAACACTGAGCCTGGAAACCACTGACCAGGAAGGAATGTGTTGTCAGCTGTGGCTAAAAGACTCAGCTGTATTTTAGGACTTTAAGAAAGTGTTTCCAGCTACTGTGCTGGGAAACTACACTCCACTTCCTTTGCTGAGTCAGGCCAGTAGCTGGATGAATTCTGGGTTTCCCTCACAGCCTCCATTTAGTCCCAGTGTTGTGCTAATAGCCAGCATGCATCAGGGCAAGAGAACAGCTGCCTACAGAATCTGATGGGGAAATGGGGAGATGAAGGAGACAATAGGGGCAAGGCATACAACGCACAGATACCAATGAGTGGAAGTCCAAGTTTGTTTCCAAGATCTTTTGGTGGTCACTGAATCCTGAGTAACAGGGAGGCAGTGGCATCTCTCTAGCCAGCTCTCTGGAACTTTCAAACCTCTCACGTGCTGCTAAAGAGGAGCTATGCTTCAGTGGTTCTTTGTGGTGAAGGGGGCTCGGCCTGCTTCCAATTAGCCTTCTGGGGCTCAGCCCTCAGGCCTCTCCACCATAGTTTATTTGTCTTGCTCCCTATGACAATCTGCTTGCCCTTCTTCCAGTTGTAGGTCACTCTGAGGCTATGCTCTGGATTTTTATTTGCCTGCTAGGGTGGCCTCTACAGACACAGAGTTGTTCTTTGTCCTGATCTGCACCAGTCTCTCCCTGGGTTCCCTGCTTTCCTCCTGCAGTTTATGAAGGAACTTAGAATTTTAGCAGCTACAATGAAGGTCATTTTCTGAGACAGAGATGGCTAACTTTCCACTGCTTAGCCCTTAGATCTTTTGTATCGGCTTTCTTCTCATGGCCATTGTTTCACTGGCTCCCAGGCTGTGCTAATCTCTGCCCTAAAACCTTCTGTACTTTAAGCCCCATCTTTAAGAAGACTGGTTTCAAACTCCTGCAGAATCCTGGCCTGGATAATTCCCAGTGTTCGTTAAGATCAATGTAGCATTCCAGCATGTCCTTTCTAGATCGTTCCAGGGACTGGAAACCTGGCTCTATCGTTGTGGGGCAGCTGGGGGTGGGTAGGTCTATACACTAGTTATGTGGTATCTGTTTCTTCCTCTCAACACAGAGCATTTTTTACTTTCTGTTTTATGTTGTTTTGTTTTTTTGTTTTTCAAGACAGGGTTTCTCTGTGTAGCCTTGGCTGTCCTTAAACTCACTCTGTAGACCAGGCTGGCCTTGAAATCACAGAGACCCACCTGCCTCTGCACCCCTGAGTGCTGGGATTAAAAGTATGCACCACCACTCCCCGGCTTTTTTTTTTCTTAAACTTAAAAAAAAACAAAAAACAAACAAAAACAAACAAACAAACAAACAAACAAAAACAACTGCGTAAAATGTGTATCATTCCAGAAAGGTTGAGTTGTTGAGTGTCAGGTGTATCTGTTTCAGAAGAATGTCAAGGTTTACTTTATGTTTAGCCATAGAAGCAACCAGCACAACTGTGAAGATTAGGAGAACCAAGAGTATGAGTGTAAGTATACAAGGTCCTAATTGTCTAGTTCTAACTGGCTACCCCTGGGCATGAAAAAATAAACAAAAGAAATTGAAGAAGCCAACTTCATGGAGTCAAGGCATTTTGGGAAAATGTGAGAGAACCAAGCTTAGTAAATAACTGGTGTTAAGTGGAATATTCACAGTAAAGATGAACAACATGATATTCCACTGTATCAATGACAAAGGCAGGTAGGACTTTAGGGAAGGAGCTTCAACTAGATAATATAATAGGACTTTAGGCAATGTTTTTTTTACTAGCTAGATTCCCCTCTGTCTCCAAGGCACCCAGCCAGTAATACATCAGAGTCAAAGAATCATTGAATTTTAGAGTTGGAAGAAAAGTTGGCATGAAAAAATGGTCGAGAGTAAATGTTCTATTGAAGCACAGTAAGTCTACAGCCAAGCAAAGGGATAGGCTTGAAGAATAGACAGCATTCATTATACTCTTTCAGAGCATGGAGTCTATTTGTTGGGCATGCTTCCTCTGAGTGTTTAATTTCACCTTTATACTCTTGAATGCAGTCTTTGCAGTCTAGCAGATATAGCCTCTGATTGGGGGCTACCTATTGCTACTTTATTAATATTTATAATATAATTTATTTATAACATAAAGAATCTCTGATAAGGTGACCACAATAGACCAGGACAAGACATGGTTAAGTCACTGGACAGGCTATCTGTGGTGTAAGGGGGCTGCTCTTTTGGGAATGTTGTCATGCCACAGGGAACCTTCTTACCTCTGAAACATTGATCCTGCCTTCCTGGAAGGAACAGGTGGTGGGGTCATGTGTGCAGAGGTTTCGGTACTTGCACCAATGACAGCGGAAGGCGCTGTTGACACAGGACAGGCACCTGTAAGGAGGAGACAGTAAGAGGGCTGTACAGGGCTGACAGGAAGGAAGGTTGCTATCCTTACATCCTCAGCTCACTATTGGGAAGGTAAACTAGTGGAGCATCTTCTAGTGCAGAGAATTGTAAATTCTGTATCTGAGATGATCATAGGGCCAAAAAACTAGGAATAAACTGGGTCAGCAGTGGGAGTAATTTAACCTACAAAACAGTGGTGTGCTAGTTATATTTTTAGGAATTTTGCAAGATAGAATTTCATTCTGATGGGTACTGAAATTGGCTATGGTGGGAGAATTTAAAGCACAGAAATGGGCAAATACTATGAATTAGATTTCTAAACATTTGATGGCTGGTAGGTAATGTCAGCATGCCATTGCTGATCAGTCAGTGTAGCTGAAAGAGCACAGAGGTGGAAATTAGGCAGATCTGATTCTAGTCTGGGTTCTGCTGCCAACACTGATGTCCCCCTGAGTAAGTAACTCACTCTGTGCATTGAAGTTTCTTCATCAGACTGTAACAAAACATTCCTGTGTAGTCCACAGGGCTGTTTAGTATTGTCAGATAATGTATGAGAGTATAATGTTAAGTGTGATTGTTATTTTCTTTCTCTTTTGAAAAGAGTGTATAAGACTATTTACAGCAGCATTACTCTTTTTTTCTAAAGATTTATTTTTTTATGTATGTATGAGCACTCTGTTTTCATGAACACTAGAAGAATCAGATTTCATTACAGATGGTTGTGAGCCACCATTTTGCTGCCGGGAATTGAACTCAGTGCCCCTGGAAGAACAGCCAGTGCTCTTAACTGCTGAGCGATCTCTTCAGTCCATGATTATAATTTTCAAGAAATGAAATCACCTATTAGTTCAACCTCTTGAATGACATTCGAGTATTTGCAATTTGGTTCACAGCACCTGTGTTGCTGAGCCTGTGAAATTTACAGTACTGAATGGCAACTTTGCCCTGTGTCACTAGTGATCCTAGCACACAGTCTATGACATTCACATTGTTCCCAGAGAGAGCATTTCTTCTCTTTGGGTATACCCAAAATCTCTCTGTGTGTGCAGATCACTGTGATGGCAATTTACAGAGTCCTGGCCTTCCTCCTCCTCAGCTTCTGAATGATAGCCTTTCAGTACTATACTAAGCAGTTATGAACAGAAACGGTCTGTAATCTGGCGCCCCCTGGTGGGGTTCTTATTTTGTCTTCCATTTAGGGGTCTCAGGCTAGTAAGGCCAAATGTGAGGTGACTTGGTCTATACACACCCCAGAAAGAATTAGCCACGCACACTCCAAAATTAGTCATGTATGAAATCATTTTATTTCTGAGTTTGAGTCAATGTTATTTCATGTACTCGATCACTGATGAATTCTTGATAATATCATATGATTCGACATGTGAATAATGAATATAGTCCAGGGTAAAGGAAATGGTATTTGCTGAACTCTAACCTGACTCTTCTACTGGCTGATTTTGTCACTGTCATTGCAGCCCTTATTATCTATGGGTCTCAGCTTACTATATTTATAAAAAAGGGAGCTGAACTTGATACTGTGACTTTTAATAGAATGCCAGGAGTAAAGAAGGGTAAAATAATGTTACACAATAAAATAAAATCTTGGCTGTCAAGGAGACCTGTTTTTCTCTGCTAAAACTTTCCCCTGTGACAGCATCTTCCTTTCTATAGAAATCCATCACTGAATGTGGTGACATCACACTGGATTGCTATGGTGGAGCAGATACTCTCACCAACAACAGATTTTGTTACCACTGTCTTAGATTATGAAAGTTGACAAGTCCTCCTCCACAAAAGTCTACAAATCCCAAGCATGGTTATCTGGTGGAATAGTGGTCAGTTTTATCCAATTCTACTTCAGTCTCTTTGCCCTGCCTAGCTGCCTGCAGTCATTTCCGCCTCTTGTTCCTCTTGTTCTGTCTTACTCATAACATACATTAAAGAGGGATACATTGCACACTGAAGTTAAAGCCTTTTCTGCCTCTTCTAACCCAGGCTTTCTCATTGGGTGCTGAGAAGAGGTTGCTGTACTCATGCCTATTCTCCTTTGTGTGTATAGCAGATTACTCCACATTCACTGTAAGTCTCTGCCTTCAAAGCCACTGCCAGTTGGCTGGAGTGAAGACCTCTTCTTATAATCCTAGGTCAGGACACTCTTCTTGCCTTCCTAGCTTCAGAATTGGGGATAGAATGTACTAGGATGGGGCCAAAGGAATGAAATTAGAGGCTGTGAATGACTGCCATTCAAATAAATGTGAGCCAGCCCCCCACCTCCTAGAGAGACTTCAATGTGATTACTGAACATGTCTTGCCCTAGAGGGAGAAAGTGGAACCCCATACCCACATCCAGACCCAGGCAAAGTTCCTTCTGAGGCATGCTTACAGTTGGTGGGCACTGCAGTTATAGAACTTGAACTCAGTGCTGACAAAGATCTTTCCTGTCTCCTTGGATCTCAGCTGCAGCTCTAGGCCAAACCAGTCTGCAAGAGAAGACAGAGTGAGAACCTGGAGTCCAGTGAACAACCTGAGGGGAAGAAGGTCATCTCATAGAGCCACCCAGGAGTATAGATGGTAGAGAAAGCCTGCCTGAAACCTGCTTTGCCTTGACTCTCAGACTGTTCTTCAGCAACAGATTCCATGAGTCCCTTGACTTGGTTAGGCATGTTCAATTACTGAAAGAATTTCAGAATATTAGCCCAGAACCCATTAAGCCAAGTTCAATGTAATCTATTCCTTGAATCCCACCAATTCTAGAAGGGACAGGAAATGGGCACAGGGCACATTATGCATGCTCAGCTAGAAAGAATGAACTTTTCCTCTTTGAATCTCACTTTGGACATATCAATGTGCTTTCAAACTCAAACAAGCTTAATAAGCCAATGTTAGCATCTGGTATGTGAAGACTGGTCAGGTTGCTTCATACCTATATTTGTAACTCCTGTGATCACCATGCTGCCCATGACTCTTTCGGCACACAGTCCTTACCTTGATCCAGAGGGATGACAGGGACATCCTTGGGTCCAGGTGAGATGCAGATGACTTGGCTGCCAGACACCTGCCCCTCCACCTCAGTCAGGTTCCCAAAGGCACAGGCAATACCCCCAGAGAGGTTGGGGGCATCATTGACAACCAGGCTGAGCTGTGGGAGAAGCAAGAGCTCAGGAGAACTAGGCCCTAGGTAAGGTTCCCTGCCAGGACCTATTGCTCAGGAATCTTCTTGGATCTCATCTATACAAGAAAGGCATTGGTCTAGTGAGCTTCCATCTTTGACAGTGAGTCATTAGAATAACAAAGGTCTGTGTGATGTGTGGGGTCAATAGTCTTCATAATGATTATTATTGTTAATTCTTCAATCTTGTCTAGCATCAGAAAGCACTTGATGTTCAAGGAAATAAGGGGATTTGTACCAATATTCATTTCAGGCCCTGTTCTATCTGACATGGAATTAGTTGTGAAGAACATAGATGTCTGCAATTGAATCATGAGCCTAGGATTCTATCACAGGCCTTAGCTTGGGCTCCTGGGAATGTAAGCTTCACTGGGGTGGAGGCTGGCCGGGAGCTAGGCTGGCAGATCCTTGCCCTGGCTACCACTCATCCATATATTTGGAAGCTCCAGAGCTTCTGCTCCTCTGTTCCTTTTGGGTCTTTTACTTTCCAGCAGTGCCCTGGTATGGGGCAGGAGGCTCACAAGATGCTCAGGGAATCAGAGAAGGTCCAGTGATGTCTAAACAATAAAGCAGCATTTTACAGTCTGGCTAAGGTTGCAAAGCTTTATTTTAGTGGTAAAAACTAGACTTTCAGGATTTGGAAAATGTCGTTCTGAATTCAAGCCACTTTTTTAATGAGTTTGTCCTTAGCTCTCACATAGACACAACCTCCCTGACTATTTCATTAGCCAAAACCTCTTGGTTGGTATGAATGAACTGAAACTATGGAAGCTTCATTAACTAATTAACACTCATGAATGCTCATAAAACCTTCACAATGGAATTGCAGCCAGGGCCTAAGGACATGAAATATTTTGGGTTGTACCTTGACTGGTGGCTGAGGGCTATTTTTTATGTTTAATGTTCTCTTTAAGCCTACACTTTGAATGAGTCTCAGTCGTCTTTAATCTCTCTCCTGCCTCCACCAAACACAATGGCAAGCTAAGGCTTTCTTGAATAATTAACAAACAAACAGAAGACTGAAATCATACTATGTCCTAAGAATGTGCTATTACATACTGTATGACATTATAATTTTTTTGTTGCTAAATGCAAAATTCTGGTTTATAAAACAGATCTGTGGATAACAAATTTGCAGATTATGGTGACTGTACCTTTACAACAGGAATTACCAAATATATATATATATTTGGTATATATATATATATATATATCACTAAAATTCTGATCAATATGTGCAGGTATTAAAGAAGTGTACTGTGTGTTCCGTCCCCCTGCTGCATACTCACCAGCCGGCTGTGATCTGACACAGAGATGCTGCTAGGGTGTACCTCAAGGCTCATGCACTGGTTGATACTGGCAGCAAATCGATTTGCTTCCCAGGCCCGTTGGCATTTGTCCTTTCGGGAGCACCTACATGAACACAGATTCATTAAGAGGTTATGGCTCCTTTGTCAGGTTTGCTGCCCTGACATTGTAGCCTGTCGCCTTGTGATGACTTTTACTGTATTCTCAGGTGTCCACTATTACATGAAGCTAAGCTTATTTCCTGGAAGGAGTATCAATTTCTCAGCCTAGATGCTAGGTATGAAGAACACCATGCTAATACAGTGGGATATTCAAGTAAGTAAGAAATTTGGGGTACTTGAGAAGTAGGACTGTGAACATGACCCCTGTAGCTAGAGTGTTACGTTCTAATACCAGGCCTGTTACCTGCTAGCTGGGTCCCACTGGGCAAGTTACTTAATCTTCTTCCTCTTCTCTATTTCTTCAACCTGAAGTTAGCAAGGATGATGATAACACCCTACCTCGTAAGGCTACTCTAAGGGTAAAGTGAGTTAGTACTCAGAATGCAGCCTGGCATTTAGTGGATGTATTACTGTGCTAGCCCTTGTGATACTGAAATTAATAAAATGATTAATAACATTATAATTTCCCTCCAAAGGTGTTAGCAAGTAGGAGAGGGTCTTAGTGGTGAGACAGGATACAAGTAATCTTTGGCTGGATTAATGGCTCTTTAAAGGAAGAGACCATGTTTTATTCAACAAGATGTTCTACTTGTCACACAGTATATTTTAAATAAATGTTTGTGTCATGAAATAATGACTCAAGTCAAAGAGATAGAAGAAACATGTGTCTAGGGCTGCCTCTTTCAGGAAGCCCATGTGGCCATTTATCCTGACATCATCTTTGGCTCCAAGCTCCTAATTCCATGGTGGCAGGTAAGTGAGGTGTTGCCTGAACTCAGAAGCTTGGTGATGTTACTTGTTGTGTTTTATGGACCAGTGCCACTCCAAACCAAATAGACACAGGACACAGCATTATTGTATTCCACAGCCAAGCAGTAATTCCTACTCTGACTACCCAAGCCCCTCCCCTCTCCCCTTCCAAGTACATAATGGATTCAAATATGAGTGCTGTCAAAGGAAAGAATTATGGAGGTTTCAGTGAACCCTTATGATAGCTTTAAAGTGAGCTCTTGACTACAGCCTTTATCTCATTGACTCACTGAAATGGCTCTTTTTTTTTTTTTTTAATCATACTATTTATGGCAACAACCCTAACAGAGATAAATAGTCTGAGAGACAATAACACATTTTCAAGGGCAAATAATACAGAAGAGACAGGAGGGGACCTAAAGGCTTTCAGTTATCAGCCCTCTGCCTCAAGCTTCTACTCCTTTAGAAGAGGCTGGCTTTCAGGACTGGGTCTGAAGTTGCTGGATCCTCACTGTCCTGATGGCTGGACAGCCTGGGAGTGTAGGAGGGAGGACAGTGCTGAAGATGAGAATACCAGGTAATGAGAAACCTAAATATATAGCTTCTGTCCCCATGCAAGCTTGGTAGGTAGAATGAATGGCTAGAAGGTCTGTACCCTGGTAGGTGAGGAAGACTATAAAGACAAGGGAGGAGTTCAGTAGGCAGAGATAATCTGGGCTTTCTTGATGGGACTCCATCATTCTAGAAGACACAGTTGACGTGGACCAGAGGAGGATGAGTTATTCTAGGGTAGCTGAAAGATGGGGTCACTACTGATGCATCCACAGGGGCTGATACAAGTTGGAGAAAGCAGTGTTCTTGCTGTGAATATACGATAACCTCTAATCTATAACTCTACAGTGTTCTTTCTGAGTGTGCAAAGTATAACAGGTACTGAAGCCTGGAGAAAAGTGGGGCTGGGGAAGGATGGGGCAGGATGTAGATGGCACAGGTAAGAAATGACTACTGCACAGTGAGAGAGCTTAAAGCCTGGGACCTTCCCACATAGCTGTCAGTGAACTGTCCAATTCCTTGGAGAAAAAGCTGCAGATTTTTGGGTCAGACTTACTGAAAATTGGCAAATTTGTTGCCTTTTTCCATTCCTGGAGCAGAGTTGCTGGCTCTGTCATATTGATGCTCTGTCTGACTTACATGGAAACTTACCGTCCAGTTTTGTTGAGGTTACTTTTGTAAAACTTTTTGAGAAATCTCTTACCTCCAAAACCCAAGCAGGGACTCAATCCTTTGTCAGCAGGCTTAAATCCAGTCCAGATTTTACAACTGTGAAGCCTTCCTCCCTCCCACCAGAGCCCTCCCAACACCTGCTGCAGAGGCTGAAAGCCAAGAGCTATTGTGCAGGACCCTGAACTCTGGCCCTCTGCCTCCGACTCCACCCCAAACCAAGCGCATTTCATAGAGATGCTTTGCTAGCTGGCATGGTGCCATGGAGTTTCCAACACTATTGGGCAACAGAATCCCTAGCCAGGCTCCTGCTTTAGGCTTTCACCCTTTTCTCTTCCTCTGGGGCTCTTAGGATTAGGAAGTTTAAGTGTGATTTTGCATTTCTATTGAGCTGTTGTTTGGTGGTGGGGATGTATCTGAATAGGGATATGAGGCCAGTTGGATGCATTGCAAACTTCTTGGAATCATGAAATAATGAGACCAGAAGGGTCTCCCCAAGGGTACAGAGTCCTTAATAACTATTTTGATTTGTGTTGCCTCTTCTTTATTTCCAAAACACTTATTATTTCATTTAGGCTTCACAATTCACCTGTGACATAGGCACTTTCTATGTTCAGTAAAGAAGAACTGGAGATCTAACAGTTGTCAGGGGACCCACCTGGGATCACACAGCAGCTAGCTAGAGTGCAAATTCTAAGTTCTGGTACTCTACCATCTGGTCTGTATGCTTTAGGCTGAATTCTTGTCCAGCCACTACAAGAGCCTTTTGAAAATCTTAGGGATTCTATAGCTGCGCTGCGACTTCTTATAATGACATGAGAACATAATCATATACTTTCAAAGTGGCTGAGAAGATGAGCAAAGGATTGCATACAGGAAGCAAACTGTGTGGCCCTTCCTATCTTCCACATTGTATCTCATTGTTCAAAAATGGGAAATTCCTCTACTGTCCAGTCCACCACACCAGGAACCCTCCCTCCTAATCTCCACCCCAGTCTTCTGCATGCTAGGACCACCTCTGGAACACCACAAACTTACATGTTGTGCAGGGCACACCAGCCACAGTGAGGATCTCCTGAGCTTAGACATTCTCCACAAGTTGTGTACTGTTCACATGATTCAACAGGGACCCTGATGACCTGGAAGAAAGAGGAAAGGGAGCATGGGACATTCATCTAGTGACAACTTGAATCTGTGTTTCACCTTTATCCCCTAAGGTATTTCTAGCTCATTATGGGCTGAGTCAGAAGAGGCTAACCTAAATAGAGTGTATCTGAATGGAAGCTCAGGACTCGGTTTTTACCAAGGGTAGAAAGAGAATCCTTGAGCCTGTTGCTTCTTTCCACCAGTGTCTTTTCAAGAGCCTGGCAAGTTTCTGACAAGTATTGAAAATGGTTAACTCTGCTGAAAGGCTATTGAGAGGCACAAATTCATCTATGAAGAGCTTTCAGCTGGGCTTGGGCTGAGACATTCTTCCTGCACAGCACACATGGAGGGCAGGGGAGGAACTTTTCCCATTAAGTAATATTCATAGCATGGCACTGGCACTTTGTAGCCAACCAAGTGTACCACCTGGATCCAATTATCCCATTCTCTGATGTCTGCATTCAGTTTCTCTAGTAAATCTCCCATTCTTTGAAAAGTCTGGCAAAATGGGAACCTCCACAGGAAAGAGCTGCCTGTTTAATTCCACTTTTCCTGGTTAGTTGGAACTTCACAAGTCCCTGGCCCTGCCCCCAAAAGCCCAGCTTCTGAAACCCCTTCTGGTTTTCTGGAGGGGCTTGACAAGGACCTGAGCTTGATGTTTGTGGACACCACTCTCCTGAACTTGCCCAGCGCATGTGACAATAAAGACAAAAGGGGTAGAGGGTTGGAGTTTTCTATTTGCCATATCTTAGGTGTCTGTTGTTGGCTGGGTACGAGGCTTCTGAGTTGCAAAAACACATGCTGGGTTGGAAATACAAACTCATTTTCTAGGCCATAGAAGACTGTCACCTACTAGAAGTGTGAGCCCATGTGAAATCATGACCTACAGTCTAATAACAGAATGTTCTGCTACTGGGCAGGAGAAAACAGCTGTGAGCAGAACATGGATCCTAACATGGTAAACTCAGTGAAAGCTTATTGAATGTCAACTCTGTAGCAGCCTCTGATGTTTAGCAATAGACAAGCAAAAGCATACAGCAAGGGCAAAGTCCAACAGTTCAAGGGAGTCAGCAGTCCCTAACTGAGAATGACTCAATGCTGCTCAGTATGGAGCCTCGGATTGGTGTGAGCATTAAGTGCCTTGGGAGCTCAGAAGAAGAACATCCAGGCTAATCTGTCAGGAAGATAGAGACCTAGGTTAAGGGTAAGTCCTCAAAGATAAGAATGTCTGGAATTCTAGCACTTGAGTAGGAGCTCAGGTAGGAGTATTATTTGTAAGTTACCTAGCCTGAGCCACATAGTGAATTCCAGACCAGCCTGGGCTACAAAGTAAGACTCAGTTTTATAAAAAGAATAGAAATAGAAGAGAAGGAGGAAGGGGAGAAAGAAGAAGAGAAGGAAGAAAATAAGGAAGAGAGGAGTCATCAGATGGAGAGACCCAAAAGACTCTCCAAGTTGAAGGGTTATCATGAGCAAAAGTGTCATAGACAAGTTCATTCTAACTAGAACTTGTAGGCCGGGAGAGACAGTATACTTTTCTTTTCCCATTATGGGACCACTCACTCTTAGTACACCACAACACAATAAAACTGAGTGACATGCTGAGCCTTAAAAATTAAACCTTCCTTTGAAATAAAATGTTGGGAATGTAAGCATAAAATCTGGAAATTTGGTTTAAAAAGTAGAAACATTAAGCGTAGGTTAGCGTACCATTGGTTTAAATATCTCAAGCATAATGTATCTGAGGGTTTGAGTTGATTCTAGATCAGTCCTATATGATCTGATTGAGTGATGTAATAGAAAGAAGCTAATGACATCATGGACTACCAAAACAGACTTACAGTATCAGATGAGAAAGCCTGACATAAGAAGTTCAGGACTGTTTGATCTGCAATAGTTACTTTGTCCAAAATATACCCAGCGTGGGGATGACTGGCAGGCAGGGGTAGTATTTCTATGGGAAGCCAAAAGGAGACTGGTCTCTTATAATTTGGATATCCAAAATCTCTCACTGTTTACTCACATCTCTTTGAGACAATTTCTTTAAAACATGTCTCTCTCTCTCTCTCTCTCTCTCTCTCTCTCTCTCTCTGTGTGTGTGTGTGTGTGTGTATAAATGCAGTCATGAATTTGCCATATTACACATGTGGTCAGAAGACAATTTCAGGTGTTAGTCTTTGCCTCCTACTTTGTTTGCAGCTGGGTCTCTTGTGGTTTGCTATAATATATGACAAGCTAGCTGGCCTGTAAGTTTCTAGGGATTCTCCTGGCATCTCCCCCTATCTTGTTGTAAGAGCACTGGGATTCTAAACCATGCTACCAAGCTCAGCTTTACATGGCTTTTAGGGATCTGATCTCCTATCTTCATGCTTCTGTAGTAAATGCTTTGCCTTCTGAGCTATCTGGCCCAAGACTTGCACATTTGACAGTTGAAAGGCAACATCTAGCTATCACTACCAAAGAACAATCCCTGAAACCTATTCACAGTCCGCAATACCTGCCAGAAACACCTTTCTGACAGATGCCTCCTGGAGAAATGGGTGCCATGCCCAGGTCTGATGATTTTCAATCTCTCAGGATATTTGGTACCCCAAATGCTCAAGAGGCTTCTGTTGGCCCACTCTGGTCTACTCTGCAAGTCCCAAGAGGAGCAGTCCAGTGCCCATTCCCTTTCTTGGGTTTCAGGCTCCTTGTGAGTGATGTCTGCATCTGGCTGGAAATTAAAACAACTGTCTGCATTACATTCAGCCCGTCTGTCAAAACACAGCCCGGCTCTCAGCAGCTGGGAACGGGGGCCCTGAATGAAAGCAGTGTCTCCATCAACAAAGACCACTTTCATGCCAAGTGCCATGGAGATAGTGAAACCCTGTTCTTCTCCAAACATGAAACCAACAGCACAGCTATTTTTCCTGTTTCCTGGGCCCTCCTGGTGGGATTTTTTTTTAAAATAAAAGGCAGAGTAGAGTGAAACAGGAAACTTAAAAGAAGGGTAGGCTTGAGAACTTGCAGTATTCTTTATGATCTACTAGCTAGGCACAAATCAGAGGAACAGCTGTCACAGTGGCTGAGAGGAGACCTTTACAGTAAGAAGCTGCAGTAGACCTTTCCTGTGTGTACCATCGCATAATTTTAGTTTAATTCATGTAAGTTGATATGGTATTCCATATAGGTTAGTTGTACACACATCAGAATAATAAAAACAAACAAACAAAAAACCAACATTAAAACACAGCTATCACTTCAGGCTCTACATGAGCTACCACAAGACCAAAGTGCTGTGTTCTAGGGGTAACATGAAAAAGGCAGGGGGATCCTGAGAGAAGAAAGACTTCAGTGTCTTCACTGCCTAATATGATCATCACTAGTCCCGTGTGGCTGCTGAATATTTGAGAGTACCAGTCCAAACTGAGGTGTGCTATAAATACCCAATGTATACCGATCCTGAAGATTTAGTAAAGAAAAGAAGGCAAACATCACACTAGGAATTTGATAGTGACATCTTAAAAAGTTAATGTTTTGCATATATTAGGTTAAATCAGATCTTTTACAGTTTGAAATATAGCTATTAGTAAAGTGGCAACAAAGTCTACAGCTTCTGTCTGTGGCCAGCATTTGGTTTCTTGCCTGTGCTGCTAGGAGGGTTCTGAGTGAGTCTGGCCTGGGCCTTTTAAGATAAATGTCTTCAACATAATTCAGTAAGATTGACCCACATCGTAGGAAAGCAGAGTCCCTTAGGAGCCAGTATGAGGACAAGGTGACAAGGGTATGAGTTAGAAATGTGGGCTTAGGTTCCCTTGGGAAGGCTGGGGAAGGCTGAAACAGCTAGAGTGTAGAATGTCTCTGAATTCTTCAGCTTATTATGCACAGACCAAAAGAGTATCTTTCATAAGCAGGTGGCTGTGAATCTACTACAGCACTGTGGCTCTCAATGAATGGTCCCCGAACCATAACCACCACTATCATCATAAGGTTAGACAACAAAGATGAGTTCATTCAGTGGGACCTCTGTCTCACCAGCTGGTTTGCTGGTATGCTGAAGTTTTGGAGCCTCTGGCACAAGTAACTTAAACTTCTTAGGACATCTTTAAATGGCAGGTCTTAGGGTCAGAAAAAAAAGAACCAGACTGCTCCTGGGCTATGGCAGGAAGTAATGTTTCAAGAGCCCAAATGCAAACAAAAGAACTCTAGGGACCTCTTCAAACCCAGGGAAAAATGGGCTTCCCCCATTAGATTTTAAGTTTTACTTTATGTTTTAGATGATGATGTTTATTCTGACATGCTTCATCAGGCTTTATTTTCAGGCCTCTGTATCTTACATAGCTGTTGCTTTTGTAAAGAACATGAATGGATGAGTATCTGAAGAGTCCCATGATGGTCTATAAAATTATTTCTTTTTTAATTATATTTTTATTAAGTTATTTATTTTCTTTACATCACAGTCTTAGCTTTCTCTCCATCCTTCCCTCCCAGTCCCTTCTTTCCCTCCTCTCCCCCTCATCCACCACTCCTCTCCCACCTTTTTTTTTTTTTTTTTTTTTTTGAGACAAAGTCTTGCTAAGTGGCTTAGGCAGGTTCTGAAATCTCCTTACTCCTGCCTCTGTGTTGCCACCACACCTAGCTTAAGGATTTAGGTTCTTCTAAGTCCTTCCTGGAATCTTCAAATAACCAAGTTCAAACCTGGGAATTTCTGGGCAGCTCTGTGTGAAGCCCAGGTGTCAGTCTTGCACTTGCTGGGGCCATGTGGGACCAGGCCTCAGGCCTCTGGAGAATGGGGCATTTTCTTCTAGAGTGGCCATGATATATTGGGGGCATGGCTTTTCCAGGGCTGATTCAGAATTTAATGGGGTACTCCTTTGCTTATTATTCCATTTTAAGTGGGTTAAGGCCCCTCCAGTGTGTGCCGGGATCTGAGATTCCTGGGTTAGCTTAGGAGCTATGAGATGAGTTACATGGGATAGCATTATCTCCTGCCCCTGCCTGCCTCCCTGGCACC